AGAAGGAATCCCAACAGGGAAAAATAATATCAATCGGCTCCCTCCTTCCTTCCTCCCCCCCAATAAAAAAAAGCACCACCCGCTAACATTTGGAAAAACAACAGAGGACTATCGCCTCTCTCGTTAATTTTCACTCACACGCTCAGATGAATGAGCGAGGAAGGGGGAGACCTCAACAGCCCCTTTAGACGTGGGGCTGAATTGATGGGATTGTGATTTGTAGGATTTCTCCACTTAGTCCCTGCCTCCTACTTGCTCTCCAGCCACTCCAAAGTCTCTTCCCCTCTCTTTAAGCAGCGATTTCTTTCAATCTCTCTCTCTCCCTCCCTGTGTCTCTCTCCCTCACACTCTCCCTCTCTCTCCACATCCACTCATCTCCCCGGAGAGAGAGAGGAGAAACTCAACTCCCAAACACCGACCAGATGTCGAAGAAACGCAAAGCCCCGGAGGGTGGCGGAGCCCGGCTCCCCCCCGAGGACCCCAGAGCCTGCTTTGGGGCCGGCGAGGAGCAAGGTAGGGCGGTGGAGGCCCGCAGGTGGCCGGGCGGCTGGCAGCCGGGAGCCCACCGCAGGGGCGCGTCGGCCTGGCTGGCCCTCCCGCAGCCCACCGACACCGGGGTGACTTTGGCGTTTAGGCCGGGCTGCTCCCATCGCTGGGCTCGAAACCGCTCCCACCGCACCAACCCTGAACTTCTGAGAGGGGAAGGGTTAAGGGGGGGGCAAAGGGAAGGGGAGAGGGAAGGGGGTGCGGGAGGGTGGCGGAGGGGGGCGGCGGGTCTGCGGAGCGGTCCAGGCTCCCTTCCCCACTGCAGTTTGTCACTGGCATGGGCATAGCCACGCTGCCTCGTTGATTTGTAGCTTGTGTAAAAATCTCTGTTTGCAGGGCGCTCCTCGCTTGGGCAGCGAATGAGCTATAGGCACCTAATATATACGCTGTGGTTTTGCGTGGGTCCCGTTTCCTTCAGCAAGCCCCCGTCCCTGGTACGATTTCGGTTGCGTCATGTTGAGGCTTCAAATGCTGCACTTGCAGCGCACTTTGCATCCAGCTAAAGTTGGTTTTTCCCCAGCCTTGGTGCTTTGCTGTAATTTTCAAGCTCCAAGTATTTGTGGTGAAAGCTGCTCTGTACTTTCTGACAAGATAATATCAATGTAGCAGCCGAGTGGTGTAAAATCAGCTATGCACACAAGTGTGAGGGAGTTCTGCAGCCGAATGTCTTGTTGTTCAGCCAGCCCAGTGGGTTCCCTTCCTTTGTGTTTATTTTAACTAAGTGGGCCCAGGTGAACCAGGCTGAGCTACAGGGCTCTGGGCTTGGGGCTGTAGTGCAGAAGGGAGAGGAAAATACCGGTTGGATTCAGAGCAGTGCTTCAGGTTGTTGCAAATGGCTCTGGAGGCTACGGTGGGAGATGGTGGGTGTGTGTTGGGTTCAGATGACGATGTGAATATGTCCCTGTGCGTGCTCGAATTCAGAAATGAGGTGCTTTTGCCTGGGCAGGTGTGCACAGAGCAGAGAGGGATGGAATGAGTGTGTTCTCCAACATGGAGTCCGTGGCCCTTTTTGTGAAGGATGTAAAGGATCCTAACGTCATAAGTCACCCAGATCAAGAAATTCACTTGCCACCATGGATATTTTTGCTTTTTGCAAGGAAATGTCTCCAGCACAGTGGCTGGTGTGCTCTTCTGGTTTCATTAGAAAGGAGCACTGGTAGTGATTCACCATCTCTCTCTAAAGATATGGCTTAGGGTTTATGTGGCTGTTGGTTTTAAAGTGCTTGGCTCTCCCACAAGAAAATAAGATCCATGTTCATATTTTCTTATCATTTCTTTGCTTAAGACCAACCTTGACATGGGAGGGACATTTTCAGACCCTGTGAATGACTTTATTTGCATGACAGGATTCAATGTTTTTGCAATGTGGAATTTTGCTGTTACTAACCTGGAAAATCTTACCTCTTTGTCAGCAATGGAGGAGGTGAAACACAGAAAGGGCATTCAGCATAGACCTGAAAGTTGGCTATAGATTACATGTAATTTTAAGTTAAATCTATGCCAGTAGTGGGTGTAGGAGCACCTTACACATTATTGTGATGCAGTGATATGTGCCTGGTTTTTTTTGGTTTTTTTTTTTAATTTTTTTTTTTTTAACTCCACAATAGTATTTCCTATAACACTTCTGGTTATGTAACAAGGAACAGAAAACAAAATATAACTTCAGAACAGGATTGTTTTTTCTTTATTTCAGTGTGTACAAAACAAATGAAATGGAAAGTGAAATAAAGCATTAATGTGTATTTGAAGAGGGTAAATAAGGTATCATTTTCCTCATAAAGGGACACAAGGTATTTTGTAAATCAAACTGATTGAAAAACCTGTGCTTGCACCTAGGTAATCCAGGCTTGTATCATCTTTGACACAGTAAATGATGAAATTAAATTGAAAATGTACTTTTATTTCTGAGCTCAAATTTATTTTTGTGAACTTTTATCCTGTTTATTTTCTCCCTCCTATTTTACAGGAAGGAATGTTGCTTGTTAATTACATTGTCTGTGACTACGTAACTGTAGAAACCATTAAGAGTGTGCAATGTATCACAATGTTGTAGGGAGTGTATTTTTGTGTGAGATGGTGGATGCAAAGCTTTCTTAAGGCATGAGATGTGCAGGTAATTTTGGGGGGTTAATCTGAAGTATTTCCCTATGAAGCACTGTGCTCCTACAGCAGGTTTGCTACCTCTGTGGAGAAGGCATACTTGCTAGTTTGGAGGGAAAGTGTGTAATATTTGCCCAGAAGTATGGAAAAGCCATGTAACTCCTGGGTTTTAGCATTAAAATGTGTGTGCATTGGGAGCAAGGAGGCGGGGAAGGGGAAATGGGCATTAGTAAACGAAGGGAAGAAAAATAGAGAGCTCAGATTTCTGGAGGCTGCCAAATCCTGTGTTCCTGCAGAAGTCGAATGCAGAAGCCCTGCTGTCCTCGGCTAACGAGGTGACTTCTTTCGGTGGCAGAAGCGCGAGTGTGTGAGAGCCTGGATCCGGGTCTGCCATCTTACTTCCCCGTGTCACCTGGCCAGCTGAGGGCACGCATTGCTAACAGATGAATCTCAGACCCTTTTGAGGGTCTGCACTTCTGTTTTTAAACCTTAAGAGAGTGCAGACTAGTTCTTAGCTGCTCTAGACTGTGTTGGATATTTGGCCAACTGAAGTGTGCGCTTGCGGAGTTTCATTCAGCTCTTGTTTATCCTCACTTGGCAAAGCTGTGGGTGGACAGACACTATGTAGGCCACGATACAGATTTTTTCAAACTTCCCTGGTGTGGTTTTGTTTTTACTCTTCTTCAAAGTATTTTATGAAGGACTCTGTAATCCATACTGCAACCTTGCCTTTTATGGTGGGGTCTGATCCTATACATTTCAAGCCTCACTGGTGTGGAGAGGAGATAAGGGATGAGAGTACTCAGCATCTCCCACCTTCTCAACAGTGAGAGCCTGAACCTGTCTAACTCAAGGCATTTCACTGCTTCACCTTTTTAAGAGGTGAAGTCCTTTGGCTCATTCCCATAATCTGTGGAGACACAGTGGCATTTCTGGGGAGAATTCAGATTTTCATGTGAGCTGAATTGCCTCTCAGAGATGCCCCTTTCTTTCCATTGACAGTGCACGGAGCCTGGGGTAACTACACCGGTTTACTTCTACCAGTCTAAGTGGCAGAAACTCCAGCGAAGCTGGTAGGGTCTGAGCAGAGAAACCAGACATGGTTGTTCAGTGTGATACCCAGCGTGGAGAAGGTGGGATTTGTCTGTTGAAACGCAGCTCTCTGGACTCCCTTTATAGTCAGGAAGCAGAACATTTCTAGGGAGCAATTCATCTCTTCCTGAAGTGGAAGTCTACATTTAGTCAGCAGAATCAGAGCTGAGAAGTGCTGTTTCTGCCAATTGAATATAAAGGTAGTCCAAACATCTAGTATGCATGTAGACAACGGTATTTCAGCAGATGACTCCTGCCTTTTGACCAGATCTTTCAGGCTTCAGTGTAAGTCAAATGGCAAAGATGTTTTTCAGCTGCATTTGAAGCAGAGGTCTTCCCTTCTGGCGATAACCCTTTTGCTCGAAATTGTAGCAGAAAAAAACTGAAGAAGGATCCTGTTTTCTGTGAATCGCTGTTTTCTATGAATGTGTTGAAAGCTAGTGTGGAAGATGTAAAACCGGAGGGTGTTGGTTTAAAAACAAACAAATACAACGTGGACACTTCTCAGGCACAATGTCATGTTGCATTTGGTCCTGAATTATTCAGTAATGCTCTTCACAATTATCCAGCAGTTCCTGGATATAGTATAATACAGTATTTTGGAAATTTTTATTTTTGAGCCTGATGGATTCAGGGAAGGAAGAATCTCTAAATTCTCATTGGGCTGCTCTTTCTCTATTTGGATTGCATATGAAGATAAATAAATGCATTTCTTTTTCCACCTCCCCTGTGGTCCAGTTGTTCAGAGTGCTGAATGGTCTCCATTGTCACAAATATGAGTGATAGTTCAGAGTTTTCTGCGCTTTAAAAAATTGGTAGCTAAAGACAGAACTGTTGCAAAACTCTTCCAGAGGCAAAGTTGAACGCCTGTCTGCCCAAGAGTAACTTTTAAGACGTGATTACTTTCTTTGAATTCAAAGAAATGGGCCTGGCCTGGCCACATGCATAGAAGTTAATCATGTGCATAAGGAAATGTTTGCAGGATTTTGGGGGTCTTAGTTATTATTAACCAAAGCCCTCTTGAGGGTCACTTCTACGCAAAGGATACTTCCCTGGTACTTACTAGGGGGAGCAGTTTATACTAAACTATTCTCTCTGACTAATACTAGATGATTTGTGTGAGTGCCTAGCATTCACGATTATCTTGAACTTTGGTATTAAGAAGTTATTGGTTATTTTTAAATCGTAATTTGGGATCATCAGACACAGGAAACCAAGTTCTGTCCTGTTATTCAAGGCTTACATTGATGAAATGGAAATCAGAATTGAACCCAACTTCTGAATTACAGTTTCCCCCCTATACTCAGTCTTCATCAGTGCAATTAAAGTTACAGTCTTTACTCCATTTGCTGTTTTACCATGCAAGTGACTATTGGGATTCCTTTGAGCTTTGCACACGGTTGTTGATCTTTGTGTTTCTCTGATACAGGTGGAAAAGCAAAGCAGTTCTTCCCTTGCGTGTGCGATTTGAGGCTTCAGTTTCTCCTGTACTTGCTTTTCTCCATCCTCTGTGACCTGGCCATTCTTTTTTTTCCACGTAGCTTCTGATCCCTGAAACAAATAAGCCCTCTCTGTCTCAGGATCCCACTCTGGAAGATCTGGCTGCTTGGAGTTAAGGTGTTTAGCGACAGAGGCTTATGCATTTGTAAGGGCATGGGAAAGAGAAGGGAATTATTGTACAGCTTGGTTTTTCTGCTGGTACTTTATAGCACAGAAAAAAGTGATCCTTTCGACTCCGTTCAGAGGAAAAAGGTTGTGTCACCAAAAAAAGACAA